GCACAGATCTTCTCCTCTTCTCCACACATGAGACAGACAGAAAAATCTGAGGATGTTAAAAATTATATGCTTACTTGCTCTTGCAAATATTATTTATCAGCTGACCACTAGTTTTGTTTTACTAAGACTGAAGTATTCAAAGGTCTCTAGAGAAGGAATAGCCTTTTCTGATTCACAAAAGACTATTTCGTTTCATAAGGAGCAAAGGGACAATGCAGCGTGAGGAATGAGACCTCCATCAAATGTCCAAAACTGAAAATAACTCAATATACATAGTCCTTCCAAATGTTGCAGGTAATATCATCCAAGTTACCTATAAAACTTCCTAGTTTGGAAGAGTAAGTAATGAACATCACATATTGGGATAATAAGTAATAAACTCTGGGACAAGACAGTTTGTTCATCTTTTAGATGCTGGACTATCTAACTTACCAGAGTGGAGGTGGCAATATGGGGAATACATGTTAAAACCTTGGGATACTGAGAGTATTGAACATTGGTCCATGACAAACATTGAGCAGTAGTGAGTATGTTGCTGAAAGGTGCCCAGATGGAACTGCTTTTTATTATAACTGTAAAACGTTTGCTATGCATGTGGGAGGCAGTTGAGCCAGTAACCTCTTCCTACAAGTAATGAATAGTATGCTGCCTGTTTTCTGGACAGATAGATTGTTCACATATGGCCATGAACTAATTTATTAGAGAAAAACTAAGATTTCAAAGAATCTGCTTCATTAGGGTTTCTTCTTTGATTTCTGTCTTTACATTGTCGAATAAAACATACGCAGACTGATTTTTTTCTTGTCCCTCTGACACAGTCAGAGGAAGAAGTCAGAATGTAACTCCACAGCTCTGAATTGTCTCACCAGAGAAATGTCCTTCTTCAACATAAACCCTATATGTCTGAGCCATAGTACCAGGTTGGCCAGCAAGGCTTGTTGTGGGCAACTGCACACAAATTTGATGGCTCTCTCCCTGAAAGCAACTACTGTCAATGCACTGAGCCCCTCTAGCAGCAGTCCTCTTCACAAACCAGTCTTAGAAAGCAAGTTTACTTCTCCCACCAGTTGCCATTTCAGGAACTGATTCGTCCCTGATGATTGATTGTCATCATGAATCAAACAGCTGTTTGATGAACGCCTGTAGTGTAGTCAGATGTAAACAGCCTCCATTCAATGTTCTTTATGTTCTTATAAAATTCAGGCTATGTGGATTAATGGTCTAGTGATTGAATAACATTACAAAATTTATTCTCCCGTTTCTACTCTGGATAGATAGTAGATAGATAGACAGACAGATAGATAGATTTTTTTCAGGTGGCTTTTACAATTTAAAATTTTGCACCACTGCTCAGGAAAGAGTTCTTCTGAGCACTGGGCATCTCTTCCAACAACACAAAGCAGTGAGGGCAAAGCAGCCTTTCCTCCTCTAAACTACATTTGAAAAGAAGAATGACACTCTATTCCCATTTTGTAAGAAATAGGATATGTGTTTCCCCAGAGAGTAATCCAGAGCAGCAAATCCCCAGTGGAGACAAGTGTCTCCTGGCAGTGCTGAGTTGGGTATGGGAACCCCAGAGGAGGTGAATTTGAGATTCTTTTATCTCTCTGCTGCTAGCCCAAGGTCACCCCCTCCTAGACTGACTGGGTTTCCCCAAGGCCCAGCCTTCCCAGGTGCTGGCCATGATGCACTGGCACTCAACAGAGACATTGCTATAGAGGTAGGCAGCAGCCAACAGGTTTGCAACACTCAGGCTTGTCTTGTGATATCAGGTTTTATTCTTAACTCTCATCCCTTTTAAGCATGAAGACGTGTAAGTGTATGAGATGTGGACTGCACTGTGTCTTTTAAACTTTTTAAAGTTTGCTCTTCTGGACAAAGTTTCTATTCCCATTTCTAGGTGATGTTATTCTCCTGAAAGTTTCAATAAGCCTATAGGTAATGAGAGATAATAAAGTCTTGATTAAATGAATGGTCTGCTTAGCTTTTGCTTTGATTTTGTCTGAACAGGCAAATATAGAGATTTTCTTAAGTGTGTGCAAGTGGAACACAAGGTGAAGCCCTTTCCTAGTACTTTACCAGACAGCTGCCTTATAGACAGTAGATCTATGCCAAATTTACACCAGTAGCCAAAGCTGGAAGAGAGGGTTTTGTCAAATATACCAACTGAACTTTGTGACTAGACATGGTAAAGAGCCAAAAATTATGTTTCCTCTAGGAATTTTTCTAAAGACAGAACACACAAATTACATCTGAATGTGCATCATTACATTAACATTTACACAAGCCAATATGAAGTTATTTGATAAATAAGATTGATAATATGATCAGAACCTCATCTGGAATTTAAGCTTGATATGTGAAATGCAGTATTAAATGGCTGTTTGATGCTTTCTTGATTTTAGGACTCATGCGAGTTAATGCATGCATGGTGGAGAGGTCATTATGGACTCTGAGGCATCATTTCAGGCGTGTGCTAAGCTGTACAGAGTTGCATGGCTCTTTCATTTGCAGATGTTTGGCATGAAGAATGCACCAATTTGTTTGCCAAACATCAAAACACAATGTATAGCAAAACATAGTGTAAAACAATGCAAACCACTTATTAGCCAACAGCCTGTTTCGCCTGCCACCAAGTGAGTATGTCACAGATATGAATAGTTCCCTACTCATTCCCTCACTAACCTGAAACATCCCTTTGAAGAACAACCCTGGAGTGGAAATGCATAAATGCTCAGCCATAAGGGTCATCATCTGAAAGGGGACTTGGAGTATTACACATTGGAAGATCATGCATAATCTAGCTTGTCAGGCAGAAAACAGGACAAAAGGGTTCCCCTTGGTGTGTAAGAGGAAAACTTGCATGTTTGGGTTTCAACAATCAATGAAATTTGGAGTAAAAAAGAGCTAGTGGCACACAGAGCAAGTGGTGCACAGAGAACCAATGCCCTAATGCAAAAGGGCACTTAAAAAATTGCAATGGGCCAAAATGACTTTGCATATCTAAATATATAGGTCAGTTTTAATCCTGGTGGCAAGTGGATATAAGTGTGCCAAGCCAGTGATTTAAATGGTGTAACTGGGACACGTTTGGCCCCAAGTCCGTGCCTGACATGCATTTGGAAACAACTTGAGTGAAGGTGTTAAACAGAGCAGTCTCCAAGCCTGAACTTTTTCATCTGACATACATACATACATACGTAAATAACCAACCAAACAAATAAACAAATAAATAAATTATTACTCTTTTCATTGAAACTCAAGAAAATAGCTGCTCTGTTTTGCTTTCACTCACCCTGAGCAGCTGATAAGGCAGAACAGAACCTTGATAAATCTCCATTTCACTGTTGGCAGGCTCTGAAAAAATTTCCTGCCCAGAAAAAAAAAAAAAGTGTTTCCATCAGATTCTCCATTCCTCTTGTCAGGGAAGTGGCAGAGTGGATGGGTGCTTTACAATGTCATGAAAGACAGAGCCACAGGACCTTTTGTCAGATGCAGACAGGCACTGCATGTTAAGGACTGAAAAACAGTTCATCAGACCCTTAGTCTCAACAACTCTTAGTCTCCCCTTCCCTTCCATTTCCATGCTCTAACAGCTGGAATTGTGGCTAATATTAACAAGCTTTAACTCTTACCAGCTAGAGAGATGTAAAATATCACAGCTTATTTCAGCTACCAAAAGTATTTTCTTTGAGATTACAAGCAAATTTATCCTCCTGTAATCATTCTCCATGAATCTTTCATTAATTGTCTGCCAAAATTCAATGACATTAACCATTTTGTATTAATTGTTGTTCATTTTGTTAAACAATGTCAAGAACAATAGCACAGACTGACTGTTGTATTGCATTTATTTGGTCCTCTATTTGCCCTCAGAAGCACCTTAAACTCAAGGCATTTGTGTCTGAAATACCTGGGTGGCAAACACAAAGCTTTTTTCCTCCGACTGTGTTTCAAGCTTCAGGTCAAGCCACTTTTGAGAAGGGAAGTTGTGGGGGAAACATTTACAAGATGTAGCATGGTCTGTTATGAGACTTTCGCTCTGGTTTCCCTTTTCAGAGTAACTATAAAATCCTGAATAAATTATTTTGCTCTGTGATGTGCAAATGCTTTGTTACTTTTCAGCACTTCCTGGGCATTTTCTCAATTGTCTCACAATTAGCATTGGCGGTCCTGGACTTTATTACCAAATGGTACTAGTGGCCACCAAACAAAACAAAAGGGATGGCTGGTGCTGGGGGGTTGGTAGGTCACAGCAGGCACTAACTCAGACCCCTAGAACATGCACATCTGTGTCTGGGCCAACAAACTAACCTGCCTTTACAGATGATACAGAGAAACAAATGCCTTGAGCACAAACCCAAACCTTATTTTGGGTATCCACTTTAAGCTGTTCTGAGCCATGTTGCATAAGCAGCTGTTTTTCTTCAATGGCTGTGAAGATTGTCTGGGATGGTCACCACAGATGTTCATATCTGCACTGGTCAGATGAGTCTACCCCCAGTGACCAAACACTGTGGTTTTATGATGACTGGTGAGTGAGTTGAGATCTCAGTAGACATGCCTAGTCATCATCCCAGTTTGAATGATGTGACATTTTGAGGAGAAGAGCCAGGTCTGCCCCAAGGCAGACCCCAACCCAGCATTCTGGCCTCTGTTCCAGAGTGGAAAGTGGTGGTGGAGGACATTCCTCCAGCAGCCTTCATGTCATGCAATACGTACACCTATATCTGTTAACAGACTAGCATGGGGACACCAGTAACACACCATGAGACCTTAGGATCAGACCTCTCACACTGCAGCTGGATCATGATGCTTGACAAAATTTAACCACTGGTTTGACCTGTGTTCAGAAAAGGAAAAAACAGACAGGAAAAGTTCAGTATTATGATGTACCTTGCATGTCCTCACTTACAATCTGTAGTGATAAAGAAGTTTATCTCTGTTCTTTCTTCTCTCCCCACCCTACCTATACATCACCAAACCTGGGATCACCCAAGGAAACCAATGAGAAAAGAAGAGAATGGAACCAGTCGAGCTGAATATGCAATGACCTCCTCCCAAAACAACAAAACAGTTGATAACAATGCGGTCGTATAATCCCCGAAACCCCACCAAGGCGCAGGAGGTTGGTAAACTTTCAAAGCACACACGGAGTATGCAAGGTGGGTGAAATAAGGCAATGAAGGGAGCTGTGTGGCCAAGGACTTCATTTCAGAAACAGCGCACGCATCAGTGATTCAGAAGAGAAAGGCAGGCTGCTCTCCAGGCTTGCTGCTTCTCCAGGGGAGGATAAACTCGCCCACCTGGGCTGCCCGGATAAAAGGCCTCAGAAAGGCATAAGCATTGCATGCTGCATCTCGTGAAAGTGATGTCGCGATGCCTCCCGCTTCTTCCTCTCTTCCCCCTACTTTTAGGTTTGAATTGAGTGTCTACAAAAAGGTGTTGAAGTAGGATCTTTGAGGAGAGGGTGATCTGCCAGAGTGGCAGCAGTGTATCATAATGGGTGAGAGGGTCAAGGGTAGGAGGTGTCACCCATGTGCTTCTCCAGCCTGTGCAGTTTTGTACACTGATACTTCATTCTTACCATTCTCATTATTTCTTTATTAAAAAGAGAACACAGTTTTCTGTTAAGCCATCGAGCAAAATGTGCATGAACTTGTGACTTATCCCAGGAAACTCGTCTGTGGTCTGATGACTATGCAATTTGTGTGGCTGAAGACTTTTCAGGCAAAAGAAATCAAAATGTAAATTTTTAGCAATTATTGCTATTGAAGGAGATATTATTAAGAGGTGCTTGGAACATTATTACTGATTATGATCAGCCTCCTTTTTTGCATCACACTTTTATTTAATCTTTAGAAATGTTCTTCCTTTGTGAAATTCTACATATTTCTCTGTGTTTACATCACACTGATTCCCCAGGGAAACTCCCTACAGAAAAGATATTGTTTACATCTTGGCATGAGTGTTTGGGTGGGATTGTGTTAGAAGAACTAGCAGCCATTTGAAGTCCTCTTCATTCACTGGTTAGTGTTGTTTCCTGAAACTGTTGTGTCTCCTGATCTGACCCACTGAGGACATTGCAGGTCTGGCTTGGAGGATCACTTTTGAGGGTCTGGTAAGCTGGTTGTGCCCACATTAACTCAGCCTCTGCTTCTCCCGAGCAGAGACTTCCGATCGTGCCAAATTCAGCACAACAGCTTAGTGTTGTACTTTCCGTGACGTGGATTGCAGACTACTTAAAGCAAAGCTGAATCTACCCAAATTCATTTCATGTAGGATCTCAGGTTAGACTCAGTAAGTAACTCTTAGGATAACAATGATGAGACTAGCCGAGGTGCTGATCTTTCCCCACCTCCTGAAAACTTTTCTTCGTGTTACACCTCCATGTGTATGTCTCCATTTACCTCTGCTGAAAGTAGTGATGCAGTGAAAGACAAATTTACACCTTGGCTTCTTGTCTGGACATAGAGCTTTGATGCCACTCGGTCTCCGTGTCTGTGAGTAACTCCCAGGCGCCAACACAGTCTCTCTCTGGGACGTGGCTGTGCCCCAGCTGTTGTGTCCCTTGGTACTGCAACACACCAATACTTTCAGTTTTATATAAGGATGTGCCTGAACTGCAGAAATCAGACTTTGATTTTGGACACATTCCTGCCTGCAGTTGGTCTGTCACTGGGAGCAGAGTTTGGCCTGATGGTGGACGAAGATGATGTTCTGCAGACCTTCCCCAAAAAAGCTCTGGGATGTTCAAATCAGCAGTCTCAGCTCAGGCCCATCTGTAGTTTTCTATTACCTATTGAACAATAGGGTGTATGTAAATATAAGTATCTTTTCATGATAAAATGAAATGCTGCTATATATTGCTCTTGAGAAATTTATGGAGTTATTCATTTAGCTTTTTAGTCTGTCATCACTATGTAGAAGTTTAACTACATAAAATTATTTTTAAATCTAGACTTTTTTGGGAAGTGAATGCAATTACAAAAGTGAAAGGGAATAAGTAACCCTTTGCCCAAGAGTCTGACCATTCCCAGCCACATTCATGTTGTGTGCTTGCACAAGACACAGTGATATGTTCTTAGATCCAAAGGGGGATTAAAATGACAGAATTTACACTTTGAGTCTAGTATCCCAAATGTTGATTGCCTAAAGCACTTAGCCCCAAAATACTATAATAAAAATATTGCAAGTATATTTCTAGAATATTTTTTAAGCTATAACATTTATTTTGGTGTAGTTACCTATGTTTGCCTTTCTTTTTTTAACTCCAGTTATTTCAGCCTCAATGTGGCATAGTTTGAAACTTGGTTGCATGTTTATCTGAGAGTATAAAGTATGAATGCAGATAAGTTTAGCATGATACAGGCTCAGGATTAGCACTTTCTCCTAAAGGTTGTTGATTTTATTGATTTCCTAATACAGCTTTAAAGGCATGTTCTATAGGGTCAGAATCACAAAAGGGATTTGTAGCTCATTATGTCCATCAAAATGTGTCTGTTTTTGCAAGGAAAGGTCAAAAGAGGTGGTCAGCAGACACTGTCTGATTTTCACTGACATCAGTGGTAACATGTCCTCACTAGAGAAGACCCTGGTGACATAACCCACAAACAAACCCACCCAGGCCCCCTGAGGAGTCCTCAGGAGAACATCAACCTTAAAAACTTCATGGAGAGCGGGGAGGCAGGGCAATGCAAGAAGCAGCACATGCGGATTAGGATCTGTTTTCAACTCTGCCACTGATCTGCTGTTTACTAGCAAGTAATTTTGCCTCTCTGTGCCTCAATTTACCCATCTGTATAATCAAGATAAAAGTACATACCAGCTCTGTGGCAGTATTTTGAGAGATATAGATGCAGCTTATTTACATAGGCAGATATACACTGTTGTTACATCCAACATACTGGTAAATATATTTGGGCACATAATCATCATAATAGTTCTTGAACAAACATTCCCCAGTGTGCTTTTATAATGCCTTGGCCACAGAAGAGCAGCAGCAGATGGTCTGAGAGCTGCTCCTCCGCTTGCCCAGGGCCTTTGCTCTCAGCCTTCACACTGCAGCAAGGCAGGGAGAGGGAGGAAATCTTGCATGGGGTAGTTTTGCCTTTAGATTCCGGCCTAAGTTCAGTAGACTACATTGCACCAAAATTTAAGGTGATCTTCAGAGAGGTGCTTGGAAAAGTATACTCGAAGCCGATAGAAGTCTTCAGAAAAGAGAGGCTAGAAAGGCTGTGTCACTGAGGAGTGATTTCTGAAGCTTGCTGATGTGGTTGGAGGTTGTGTTTAACACTACAGACTACTTGCAAAGCTTTTCTAAAAGAGGCTTCTGTGCTTCTTTATTGTACTATAATTAAATACAAGGGGAAAGGAATAGTCCTGATGGATAAGCAGTTCAGTAAGGAGTGATCCTGAATCTGGGGAACTGGCAACCCAAAATGCATCTTTACAAGCATTTTGAGTTCCTTTTTAACCACCAAAATATCAGGTCCTGCATCCGTGAAATAGCCAGATCCCCAGCAGATGCAAAGGTGGCCAGTTTCTACATAGAAGTTACCTGCTCTGCAAACCACTGTGCTCAGTCTGAGGGAGGGCAGCTGCTCAAAATCTCTTCTCAAGGATCACCACTAGCAGGGAATGCACTTTAAGGGCCTGAGCTACGAAGTGTTGAGTTTCCTCATTCTTCAGCAGCTCTAGGAAGGTAGAGATGAAGCCCCAGCCCTGCCACCCTTCCTGTCCCACACTTGACACAGTGGTGTGCCTGGGAAAGCATCTCTGCCTTGTACAGATGCTGCAAAAACAGACATGGAAGGAAAGAAGAAAGTTCTACTGAGATATAAATATATTGAGATATATATATATCTATACAGAGACCTAATTGTCCAGCCTTGCATGCCGTATGGTCACAGCATGTGGAGCAAGTGTGAGCATCCTGCTCGAACCAGGTCATGACCATAGATGCTGCCAAGCAATGGAGAATCAGGCCTATGGTAGATATGTATTTACAATACTCCCTGCACCTGTACAAACGAAAATATATTATTTTAAACTGCAAAATAGTGTGTTTAAATCAATGCATGAATGTAAATATTCTAAGATCTGCCTTCTTGACTGTGTACCACCTGTACAGATGAAAACGAATATTGTTTATAGGAAATCTGTATCAGTGGTTAAATGACTAAAGAGAAAAAAAAATATCAGAATTAATGTTGTCATGTTTCTCAAACAAGCCATTAATGTATATTTAGTATTTAAGGATATTGCTCAATAAGTATGTTCCGTACCAAAAACTGTGTTGCATATACAGATTGTGCAGTACCCTATTTTAAAAAGGCACCATAATTAATTTTTATTTTAAATAAAAATGTACTTGTAAAAAGTTTCCTGTGTCCTGCTGGTTATGTAGCTGAGAGCAGTCTACACATTGAAGGGAGGAGTCACTGCAATTCACCCTGCTTTCTTGAACATTTTCTGTTGTGGTTTTGGAGAAGCTTTTGGCTGCTGCTAGTGAGTGTGTCCAGTTGGATTCTGGTTCTGTCTCTCCTATCCCTGCAGTTGTGGTCCCAGATACGTGCACTGCTAGTGCTGCATAAGTGAAGGAATTTAGACTCATATATTCCTGCAGCCCCCAAAGCTCATGAAACCCCTTCTCTTTATGCTGAGGGGCTAGAAGTTTCCCTAACAACATACTCTAGTTTTAGACTGATTACTTCATCTTTAGCATGATACTCCATACCTTTATTTATTTGGGAGCAAGAGGTAATGTGCACCATTTTATATTCTAACTCTGTGTGGGCTTCACCTTCCCTTTTCCATGCAAAAACAAAGTGATTTATGTACCAGTGGATCAACAATAAGTAGCTAAACCCAGGTCCTTTGGCTGGGATTCACCCCTCATCTCCTTACCTGAGCAGCTAACATACAGCACATGGGATGTTCTGACAGCCACAGAGGGAGGCACCAATGCCTGGATGAAATGTGCAGCCCCTGAAGAGGTATTTTCTTGTGAGAGGAGGGATGATGCAGCTGCTGGGCACAATAAGCAGCACCAACGCCCAGTTTAGGTCCCCAGTAGAGTCACTGGGCAAATTAAGCAG